GAATCATTGTGGATTTTTGCACCCTCTCCTCCCTCCCATTTTGTTCTTGGTCAGGGTAAGCATTCTTCAGGTAAGTAGTTTCCACTGACGGTGCCGGTTAGCGGACGCTCATTAGGTGGTTCCTGCTTTCCAGGGTTGCCATGGATACCTCCTAGCAGCTTATGGCTTCGGCACCCCGCTAACCTTTAAGGCACCAGTTCCCAAGCTCATCTATTTGTAATGAGTTTAATAGTTATTTGAATTTAAATTGAATTACCTGTATTATTTTTACAGGTATCTTGGGGAAGTGTTAAATTCCAAAGGCGATCGGTGGGAAATTCAGTTAAAAGGAACAGGTCTGACTCCCTTCTCCAACCACAGGGATGGACGGAAAGTCTTGAGGTCCTCCATTCGAGAATTCTTGTGTAGTGAGGTACGTATTCTAAGGTCATGCTATACTGCACAATAAATACACTTCATGTGCTAATTTTGTGTTTTGATTTGGTTTAATTAACAGGCCATGTATCATCTGGGAGTACCAACCACTAGAGGTATAAACTAACATTTGATCATGGAAAAGACTTAGATCAGTTGTCATCAATGAGGAGAGCAAAGCCAAAGGGGTCCTGTTTCAACTGTTCAAAAATTCACCTGTCATGTATTCTTTTAACAATTTATTTATTTATTTATTATTTATTACAACTTAATGACAACAAAATTTAAAAAAGAAATACCATAAGGATGTTTTATGAAACAGTCACAGACCCCATACTCAGACAGACAACCTACATTATAAATTTACGAAAAAAATAAATGTATTCTATAAGCCAACCAATTCAGTTGGTGTTCATGCATTAAGAAGCTCCTTGCACCACGCTTAAAACTTCAAATACGAGGTGCTGATCTAATTATAAATGGAAGCAAATTCCATGTGTCTACACTGAATACGATTAAAAAAACTATACTTAAAACTGTTTGTTTGAGCATAGTTCTTTTCTAGAGTAAGTCTATCTTTTTGTCTCAAAGGGTATGTGTGCCTAGAAGTATGAGAGTAAAATTGAACATACGTGTATGAAGAGATATAAATATTTAGTGTAATCATTCAAAACTAGATTTATTCATTGTTTCACCTTGTGTACTTTTGTTATCAGCTGGCTGTTGTGTTACTTCAGATACATTTGTTGAAAGAGATAAAGATTACAATGGGTCTGCTGCAAAGGAAAGGGCCTCTCTAGTGTTACGAATTGCTCCAACATTCCTAAGGTATAACAGTAAAAATTGTTTTAAATGCACTGTGAAATAAACTTGTGGCAATAGTTAATCATCTCAAAATCAAACAAGATAATGTGTCGTTAACAGGCAGACCTGTCTTAAGAAATATCTGGGAATAAAACTAAGGACATCTAAAAATGTGTTTTGTGGGATTACATTTATTTAACTGATTTCAAAACAAGGCTTTTAGTGTACATGACTAGGTCAAAACATTTTTTCCACACTCACACACCAAAAAGCAACAACAAAAAACACCACAATGCAATATTTACAACGAAATACCCTATTTACAGTACATTGCATTAGGCCAATACAACTCGCCTTTGCTCCAGTAATACATAGCTAACAGTCTTTAGAGCAGTTTTCATTCAAGTGTCAAAAGATATTCACTTTAGCTTTGGAATATTGTTATGCTACGTGATTGGCTTAAAAAACGTGTGCCATTTTGTCCTCCAATCACAAGTAAATTAAAACTAATTGTGACCCACTAGTGTAAGTTACTCTGCACGTCATCTTGACTTCATGTACACTGTTCATGTATTTGCTTGTAGTTTTGATTGGCCCAAAGTATTGCCCTCTATTGTATTGTTCTATTGTTCTCTGTGATTGGCTAGTCATGGTTACTTTCAATTGGTTTTGGTTTGCTCTAATTGTGACCAGATTTTAAATGACCAGTGCTGGCCAGTGGTAAGATTAAAAGTGTTCCACTCAATCTGTAATTGCTAAGTCATAACATTGTTATAATTCTGATACAAACCCTGCTAGGTTTGGTTCTTTTGAGATTTTTAAACCTGCTGACCCCTTGACTGGTTATAA